TAAATGAAAGTATGTCAAGGCAAAACATAAACCTCATTTGCATCTCAGGGAGAGTATTCCAAAAGTTATTACGGACAAATAACCAGGTGGAATATACCTCTTGACGGGAAGCAATTAGCACAATAAATATGTATGTTACTAAACGAAATTTAACACAACACTTTTTAGAACAAACGTTTGTAGGAGTTTTCGTGAATCGCAAGAGGTAATATGACTTACCAACTGGCTGGCTTTCCATGACTTATCTTCGTTGAGGTTGAGCATCCGACGAACGTCCATCAGTTCTTGCTTCAGGTTCGCTAATTCCACCATCAGACGATCTGTGTCATTGCGTCTAGTATAGAGATCAACCAGGGCGCGCCATAGTGCATGAAAAGCAACTCCAACTCCGAATCCAACAGAGGCTCCGAGGAAAGTGGAAATCAAGTTACGTCGAGTAAAACTTCCAGCCAGTCGAGTTCCAATTTCAGCCGTCGCCCCAGCGACAGTGACTTGTTTTGAGCGACTTGGGCCACTTGCCATAAATCTGAGTGAAACAATTAGTTTTTATTATGATTATTGGTCGACAGCACCATTGCACTATCTACCTACCCAGACTATATTTTGCACAATGTTGTGCGGACTTTTGCCATTAAGGATCAGTTAGCTAGACGGGATAACACCCTTGCGGTTTTGCGGATGAAAGACAAATTGCGGAATCTGTCTAGGTTCGTGTCGCTTGCATTTGCTTCGAATAATTCATTATAACGATTAGTTTGCAATATTGTATAACGCTGAAGATACACGGCCAGCTAGATATTTTGTTCATTTGGAATTAAGTCAGCGACTTCGAATAAACGAAATTTTTAAACAATTATTTCTCGAAATGAACTTGAACAACGAACATAACATTGTAAGCGAGCAAGATTTAATTCCAGAGTAATTTTGCTGCATCTCAACTGGTGCTTACTGCAGAAAAAATAGTTTATATATCACAGGTCATGACAACCTAACATGGTATCAGTTCATTCTTCCGCTAACGTGGTCACCAGGGCAACGCCAGACTGATGTAGACCTCCTTCTGTTGACACGGTAAGGGTTTTTGGCGCTTGATTGCTATGGCCTCCGCAAATCTTAGCAGCCGTCCATTCGGGGTTGTGTAAATAATCCGAAACGAAGTCCCACGATCGGCTTGGTGGCCAGTCTGCAGCAGATGGCGAGCAGTTGATGATGCAGGTGCTCTGTGAGATTGGCTTGATGACCTGGTTGTTTGTGTAGAGTTCAATCTCACCCGCTCGTATTCGACCCATACCGGTGTGTTTAGCTACTCGGGTACGCAGCAGCCTCTCTGTTCTTCCCACGAAGGTAACTCCGCACCCAAGTTGAAATTCATAGAGTACATGGGATTTGGCGGACACAGGAAGCGGCGATTTCACCAAGGGCTTCGGAATTTGGGTTGCTGAGAAACAAATGACCAAATTTGCAGCAAAATACGTGCGAGCTACAGTCTCCATCAGCCTTCTTTGTATTAGTTGTCCTACATCATCACCCCTGAAAGGGAGTTGAATGGTGACGTCGCATTTTGGTGCTATCATCTCCGAGAGTCTGGGCTCGGCTTTTTCGCTGTAAAATTGTATGAACTTTGCTGGGTAGCCATTGAGATTCACTTTCCGTGAGCCAAATTAACTCACTTTCCACATTATCTGAAGTGCACAACCTCCTAGCTCGGTCAAACAGTGTACGCACGAGGCCTTTTTTGAATTGGAGCGAAACTCCCAAAATGCATATACTGACCGGTCCAGGTGGATTTTCGATGCACAGACCTCGAAATTGTCCCGTCCGGTCTTCGACTGATA